CACATTTTACACTGGTATTTGAGTTGTCTATTTTAGGAAACAGGTATTGCAGTACTCGTTCAAGACAGTTGTTAGTTGTAGATTGTGTTATTATATTAAGTCTGTAAATTTTCTTTGATTACTGCCTTGACATAGATTATTGTTTTGTCACATAATGCCAAAGGGGGAGTTTGTTAGGTTTTAGCTGATTTTGTAATTGGAAAATTCTATGGACAAAATAACTTAATTTGATAGGATGTAAAAGTTCAAGGAGTAATGTACAATTTGTTTAAAAGTTAGTTAAATAGGTATAGGGTTTCGAGTTTGGAACAAGAAGGAAAACGGCGCGAATTTTCGCTAGACTGTCGCCAAGGGTTGGCTTGAGCTACAAAAGCATAAATATCGTCACTAGACCATCGCCCCTCCTTCCCTCGAGGGACAGGCTGTCGCTCGACTGTCGCTGGGCCCTCGTTCGAGCGACAGTGCTGTCCGAGAAATTTTTATTTCGCGATTTTAAGGCTTTTTACTCGGTCCATTCGTTTCTTGACCTACCTATAAATATCAGAACTCACCTGCACATTTTTTTAAGGTTGGACATTAAGAGAAACAGATCAGAGAGTGATTCCTCCACATCATATCCTTCAACCTTCATCTGTGTGAGATTGTTTTGGTGAGAAAAAATATCGGTTCCATAATCCAAATACAAAATCACTACTTCTTCTTCATCTGGTCAGAGTTCTTAAGATCGAAGGAAGTTGACAGGAGTTCTCGTCGGTGAAAAACGGGTCATTCTTCATGATTCACGGGAGATAACAAAATTCACAAGGTTTGGAGTGCTGCAGGGTTGCAGATTCCACGGAGAGTTTCGGCAACAGCAACTGATGATTAGTGCATGAGAGTATGGAATCCACGGAGAGCTGTAAAGAGTGCAGTCGAGTGATCAGATAGTACGGGTCGTCTAGTCTGGTAGACTATAAGTTGTTAAATTCGTTTACAGTGGATTGACTGGCGAAGTGCCCTGAGTTTTTCCTAGTTGGGTTTCTCCGTGATCATTCTGGTATTGATTACTGTTTTCACTATATTGATTGATTATACAACTACGGTATTCAAATTTAGGACTAAAACTGACTTGCATGATTAACCATTTAGATGATAATTAAAAGTGACTTGTTGCTGTTTAATTCGTGATTGATTTTAATTCCGCATAAAATACCTATTCACCCCCCCCCCCTCCTCTAGGTATTGTTAGGGTCGATCTTGCGTTTTTCACTTTGCAATTGTTGTTTACGAGTTTTCATACTTTGATGTCTTTATATAATCACAATTTTTAAAAATATATCTTTCTCCACTCATCTCCAATCCAATTACGCAATTTATGCTTCACAAAAGATTTTCTTTTATAAAATATTTCCATAACTGTTTTCACTATAAAATAAATAAGTGTTAATTTAAGATAAAGAAAATGCATAATTAAGATTCTGAAGCATGACACAAGAATTCAAATTAATCAAAATATCCAACACATGTTTTGAAATTGGAAGACTAGAATCACAACTATAAATTATTTGGCCTGCCTCCCATTTTCAAAAAAAATTAATAGTTATATTGAATTATATTTGGCCCATTTCAGATTTTTTTTGGTCAAACCTTGGATGTGGGGATGGTTTGTTGTATAAAGGGAAAGGTCTATTAAGGATTAAGGGGAAGGTCTGTTAATTATTTGGCTCATTTCAGAATATTTTTTTTTTAAACATGGGCTATGGAGATGGTCTAAAATTCAGTGCAAGCATATACGCCCCTGGTCTCTATCGTCGTCTTTTAGCTATAATTTAGCCCCTGATTGTCTATCATTATTTCAAAAAATTGTTTGCTACAGTAAGATTTTTCACCACCCATTCACCCAACAAAATATTCTACACACAAACCAATAAAATTACTTTACTTTTCAATCACACATTTTTCAAAAAATACTATTCATTACTCTATGTTTCTCTCAATAATGGGAGACAAACGCACCCTTAATATTATTTGAATAGAGGTATATTGAGCTGCTTAAAGTTAAGTTTTGCAAAATTAATGAATAGAATGTCTGGTTATAATTAATTTTTAAAATGGTGCACATGTATCTGTGCACATGATGTGCTGATGTTATCTGCATTGAAAAGCCAAGCAGTTTGCTTCGATGCTTTGTATTCCCATTGAATGACCTAAGATAATAGACTTAAATTGTCACGGCATCAGATGATTTTGATGTTTTCTAATGAGCTTCCACGTTACTTCATCTCGAATGGAAATGTATAGTTGCTATAATAAGAATAAGAGTAAACATAGCTCTAGATAAATCTAGAGTTAATGGGAAAGAAAGTTCTTGAAGCTGGATATCTTTAAAATGTGGGGATGTTTAAATTCCAGATTGATACACCTTATATATTTGACCATTCTTAGGTATAAACTAATTTTGAATAATGTTGAAGATTAAATCTTAGACTTGCACGTGAAATACAAGAGCTCAATGGATGCATCTGCTCAAATGTATTGCTAAAACTCAATATCATAACTTGTTATAAATTGTAATATGTAACATTGGTATTTTGGAATAGTTCTTGATGACTTTGTAGATGTGCACATATATAATAGGAGAAAAAGAACTTTGTAAATACATGTTACAAAATTATTGTCCAAGAGGGACATGAATAAATTGTTATTCATGATGGACATAAATAAATCATCGAAGGGGATGGGCTGAAACCCATAAGGAAGTCACCTCCGAGAGTCACCCAACATTTGTGATTGGAGATTCCATGAAAAATGTTTAACGTGGTAGAAACAACCCATGGTGCATGACTCGTAATAGCACTACTTACATTGTACTCATCCCTAGGGTAACAGTGTTAATAATAATGTGACATCGAAAGGTTTTAACCCTGAATGAGTATTGAGGTGAGAGTAGCACACTTCTTTGGAGGACTCATCTACATAAGAGTTGTCATGAGGCCGTGGCTATGGGATTGAGTTATTCCCTATAAACTCTTATATAATCAAGATTAGAGCACACAGTCATTAACAGCGCTACTCACTATGAACTAGAGCTTAAATCGATAACATATGTAAACAATTGAAATTTGGCCAAAGGGTCTATTATGGCTTTCTCAAATAGAATTTGTTATCACTAAGTGAGGTTCAAATCCAAAAGGCACATACACCGATTGCACAACATTATGTTACCACTATAAATATATTTTAAAAGTTCAAAACTTGTGGGGGATTGTTGGAAATATTATTTTAATTTATTTTTCTCTCTCCTCTTATCAACAATACATTCTCTCAATAATCTAATATTATACATAAAATCAAAAAATTTCATTATTTTTTAACCACACATTCTTCAAAAAATATTATTCTAAAATCAATTTTTTTTTTAATCAAATAATGGAGCCAAACAAGATTTAAGTTTCAACTTTCAAAATTATTACATTTTAATTTTCAATTTTTGGTTTATTTAAAATCTTAATTTATAATGTAATATATACTTAACCATTTGAATAGAAGTTAAGAATTAATTAATTTTACATTATTGTGGGGGTTGATTTTTCCCTTATTTTATAAAAGGGATGGTGATTTTAGATGCAACATAAAAAATACAACTTGAAATACAATTAGAAAACACAAGTTAAAGAATTAGTCTCTCATATACATATCATATGGGCAATTAGCACATAACATTCCCACATTTCATTGTTATTGTGGAAAACGTCCATACCTTTCACTTTTTTATATTTTCACCCTTATTTCCACATTTCATTGCGTAAAATGTCATTTTCATTCATTTTCCCAATTAAAAATCGTAAAATGACTATTATACCCTTCTTTATAAATAAAACAAAAGAAAAAAAGAAAAAATTAATTGCAATCATAGTCCCAATTTTTTTTTAAAAAGTGCAAATCAATCGCAAATAAATTATTAAAAGGGTAATTAGTACATAGTGTCTCTACATTTCACTATTGTTGCAAAAAATGTCCATACCTTTCATTTTTTTGGCATTTTCACCATTAAGTACACATTCGATTGTGCAAACTATCATTTTACGATTTTTAATTGGGAAAATGAATAAAAATAAGTTTTTACGCAATGAAAGATGAAAATAAGGGTGAAAATGTCAAAAAATGAAAGGTAATGATGTTTTCCACAATAACAGTAAAATGTGAAAACATTATGTGCTAATTACCCCATTTCATATTATATTCTTATACTTTTGACAACTCGATAAAAGTCTGCCCTTTATCTCGCTGTAATCATGCACATAAAATGAGAATCGGTTGTAAGCTATATGAGTTTTACCTTGGAACTATATAGTGATACCCGCACAAAAGGAGGCCAACACGATTTCAGGAAAGTATCATTGACGTGACTCTCTTAAGTCTTTCTTTCTAACTGTCCTCTTCTTATATTTTACGTTATTTAATTGATAATTTGTTAATTGATAAATATCTACACACAAATCATTCATTTTTCACAAAAAAAAAAAGATATCCCCTTAAATTGCAGATTCAAAGGGACTATTTAAAGATGATCTTAGTCAAATTCAAAACCACACATACATAGAATTCAGGATTAAGAATCAATAATTTCGGTAAATTAGAGCAGTTATGTAATTATTTATTGCTTCTTAAAATAAATAGGGCTTTGAAAACCGAACTTTCAAGACATTCAACTTCATTCATAACTGGATATCCAGCCAGAATTCAAAGATAACGGGATTTCTCCACCCTGAATTCCAAAATAAGAGTCATTCCACAAATAGAACTTGGGCATTTCTTAAAACTTGTCTATACTATTACAGCATTAATTATAGTGAAAAGCTTTAACACCCCAGCTTCACAACACACACACCAGTTATTGGCCAAGAAAACTCGCAAGCTGATCCTACTCGCAAATCAGATTTGGCTCCCATGCTTGCGCTTTTATGGAAAATCCGCGAAAACCCACATACAAACAAAACCTACATAATACACAAGCAGAACTACATTTCCCTTTGAGTATCAGAGGCAGGACTCCACACTCCGGTTTGTTCACAAAGATCTAGCAAGTCCAAGGTCTGTCACAACATAATAATTTAGAATTTTAGACCATCAGATCGCAGAAGTTTGCCATTACGACTGCACATTAAGCTCTAAACGTTTGTAAAAAGCTTTAAACAAATACCTTTTTATCAATCAAAATCACTAAGAAGTAATTTGTTTTGAGAGGAAGGCAAAAGTACGTTTATTTCTTTCAAACTTAGGCAAACATATCCTCATCATCTTACCTCAGGTACAGACAACTCGAGACGAAACTTGGGACCATCATAATGATGCAAAACCGGCCTAAAAGCATCTTCCTCCAAAGGTTTGCAGAGTTTCCTTACACAAATCTTTACCTATAATAAAACAAGCAGCAGCAGAGTCAATAATCAAGGAAAGAAAATACAACCACGACATACATGCACAGGAGCTGAACATCATAGTTCATAAGACTACTTGTTACCTGAGCAGGGAACCTTGACTCGCCTTTACATTTTTTATCTTCCCAAGCAGTGGGATCAATGTTGGAACCTCCAAAACTTGCAGCCTGTACAAAGCAAAAAATTGAGAAACAATTTAAGAAGAGTTCATCAAGATTCAAAAGCTACAAGCAGAGGCGGAGGGACCGCGGGCAGGGAGGAACGACTGCCCTTGCAACAATTTGTTAATATTTTTCCAGAATTCTATGGTAATTTTTCGATAAATACATATTATGTATTAACAGCTTAGCTTATCAATGAGTAGGTTTTGCATCTCAGTGGTAAAAGCTGAATCTTTTACCATGACTACTCTAATTGGAATCCCAACTATTACATTTTCTTTTTCGTTTTTTTCTTTGGAAAAGTTAGCACAATTAGCCTTTAGATTTTATGACCTATATATAGCAAAAACATCCTCAACCTTTACAATTGGACTTTTCAATCCCCAACAGCGTGTTTCATTTGCATATGTTGTCCCTTCTATATAATTTTTTTCATGCATAGAAAGCTTTTATAATAGCCATGTATTAAACTTATGAAGCATCAATTACTCGTCTTTCTGTGCATAAATCTTCCGTCCCACTAATTTAAGCCAAATCACGATTTTACAACGGAAATGACTAAGCAAATTATATCAAGCACAATTATGGATGGATAATATTATTGAAAAGCAGTGGACATATTTCTTAAAGAAGAGAACAGATATTTGCTTTAAAGAGTCATATCATGGTTACGAGAGTGAAAACCCTGTAGAAAAAATTTTTAATGAGGATGAGTGCTCCAATGGCTAAGGATCCATAGAAATATCCCCCCAACAAAAAATCCTAGCTCCACCACTGGCTATAAAGGACAAAAGGTGTGCCTAATGACTCAAATCCTAACTACAGGTTATACTGCTGAATGGAAGTGTTATTCTTCAAAATATTGTGACAACTAAAGCCACTTTCTGCTCAAAGTAAAAGTTTAACAAATTCTGTTTCATATCCTTGTACATTTGGGAATGATTTCCTTTCTACACTTGGAACGGCTGGATAACCATACACAAAAAGGAGAAGTTAGGATTTGAATTTCTTGCAAAAATCTAAATTACACCGCAACAAGTGCAATAAAATCCACAATATTTTCAGTCTGCCAATGAAAATATCCCAGGAAGGATCAGTTCAATCTAAACTTAAAAAGAATTGTAATTAAAAAACTCGCATAGTCTCATCATGGTACTGCTCAGACAAAGTACAAAACAGAAATTGCAACTAACCTCAAAAATACCGTGCAACTGGTGATTGGTGTAATTATAGAGGAACAGAGGCAAGCCTGGTGTTATAGCCCTCACTGAGTCTCTATATCTTGGTGGTAAACCTGCAATAGAACGTACAGATTTAAGTACGGATAACTACCAAGGACTCCAGTAATATAAATGCTGTGAAATGTGGACAAGTATGTGCAACATTTTTTACTTTTCCTGTGCAATTTTAATTCGAAGGTGCAAATTAAAATCTATAGCGTTTAATTATGCCAAGGTTTTGTCAAAATACAAGGGCTTCGATTGTTTCAAGAACTTAGAATCAGAATATCCATTAATTCCATTCAGATTATCCAACAAAAGAATATTCAATTTTAATACTGAAGTAGATGTATGCCTCCAGCATTTAAAATTGGTAACTCCAACTTGAAACAGAAGCATCTCTGCCAGTAGTTCATAAATTTGCTTTTCCAATAAAATTAAGTCCCCGTTTGGTAAAAATTAAAATCCAGATTTTAATTTAAATCAAAATCAACAATTAATTTTAATTACGCATTTTATGGGACCCATGACTTTTCAACCGCACATTTTATCAATTTTTATCAAAATTTGCTAAAAATCTGATTTTAATGTCTACCAAACAAGGGATAAGTAAACATATAAACAAGTCAAGATTTCGAGCATACAAGGCCAACAACTCTGACAATCATGCCTCCAATTGACTAAACTGCCTCTGCAGCAAAAGTTTTCAGGTCTAAAAGCAATATTAACTGAACCAAAGAAGAAGTGGAAGTTACTTTTAAGTAACATTTTTTTTTTAATTTCAATCATGTTTTGATAACTTACTTACTCCTTACTTTTAAGTAAGACGTACTTTAAAAATAGCTCTTGTCAAAATAAGCAACTTACTACTTTTCAACTTTGGCCAATAAGTTTATTTTAAAATTTATTCACTGATAATAAACTTTCTAAGCTTAGCCTAACATAACTATAGCTAGGGTATGGCTCACTTTTCATGGAAAACATCAGCATTCAACCAAAGATCAATAGCAGCATAAGAAAAGAATCGTATAATTACCAAATAGTTGTCGCTTTAAATCTTCCTGCATTGTATCATTGTTGCAAACAAAGATATACCCACCAAGAACCTCATCCCTAGGAAGTGTCTCTGCTGCAGGCAAAGTCTTAAACCTTTTGTCAACTGTACTGCTCGCATTTGTGTTCTCCTCCTTGTTATTGCTATTGTTACTGCTGCTCTTGATAGGCTCTTTGTTGAAGTTATTATTGTAATATTTGCTTATATTTCCCAAATTGGAATTAGGATTTTGATACACAGCATTCATGTTGTAAATACCATTTCTGATGGGACTTTTAGCAATGGTTTCGGATATTTTGGCATCCAAATTTAACATATTGAAATTAAAGCTTTCAAACTTGTTATCTTCTTGAAATCCATAATTATCTCTTGGCCTCAATTCAGTTGGACCCTTTGAGAAATCGAGGTTGTTCCTCCTCTCGCCCTTTGACCTTGTCTGCTCAGCCAATGTAGACGCAGCCATTAACCATTTGTGATCCTCGGAGACTTTTGCTTGCCCTCGAAGGTCGTCTCCCAACTGCCAAAAGCTGTGAATACTCTCCATTTTGCAGAATCTAAAAAGAAGTACACATCACACAAAATTGACGATTATATTGCAAGCCACAGGGAAAAGAAAAATAATCTAGCGAGCAGGAGCAAAAAAATCATGGCTCACAAAATCAAAGTGTTCCTTAAAAATCCTCACCATAAAAGCAAATCTAATAGAAAGTAACCAATAACATTAACCAGCATTCGCTCTTTCAAACTTGGAGCAACGAACAAGCAAAATCATAAATCTGGGAAAATTACACTATACTAATAGCATATTTTGCTTAGCACAAATGCTACAGAGAAGTAGCAAAAAAGATAGAAACCTCAGATCAAGCAAATTGAAAAAAGAAGAATCAAATAATTTTTACTAACAGCAGTACTTCACCCAAAGTTAGCTATCAGTACTACAATCAAGCATCGCCAAATGCAAGTAGAATTAAAACAATATGAACGCAATTAACAAGAGATTAAAAAAATTAACTTATCGAATGTATATCGGCAACAAATAATTTCGCTGAACGAGCAAAAGCAAACTTAAATTTCTAATTTTAGTCTGAGATACGAAAATCGAGGACATGATCTAGCATACAAAAACAAAATTCAAAAACAACCCTAGATTTCGGTACCGAAGCTAAGGAGCTACTAACCTTTATTTCTTCGGCTGCCAAAAGACGGAAGATGCGACACAGAGGACAAAAAATAATGGAGAATTTCCATTATTTGTAGATAGGATTTGAGCAGAAATGCCATGATTTTTGCCTTCATTGACAATATTGCCATTACAGCTTCGAATTCTTTTTCACAGAAAAAGACAACTCCACCGATAATATCGGGTTGTAAATTTGGTGCCTTCATTTTTTTGAAATGGTGGATTGGTTTCCCTTACAAATATTTTTGGAAGTTAGCGTATTTCAAATTAGTCATTTGATTCCCTTACAAATATTTTTGGAAGTTAGTGTATTTCAAATTAGTCATTTGATTATTCCAGCGTTTTGTTTTTAAATTATGGGTTGTTTGAGCCTCATATTTTATTTCCAAGAGCGTATTTTTCAATAAAATAATATTATATTTAAATTAATTTTTTTTAAATTTTTAACTACATATTCTCGAAAATCACTATTCAAAAATGCATTTCTTTCTCCCAAAATGGGGCTCAAACAATGACTTAATATAACTCATATTTGGAGGTATTAAAATTCAAATTTTAATTATAGTCAAAATCAACAATTAATTTTAATTATATATGCATAACTTGTTAATTACACATTTTATCAAAATTTACTAAAAATATAATTTTAATCACTTATATATATATATATATATCTTTCTATATATAAAAAGTGCCTATCTAACGGAATTTATTGGTTTAACGGAAAAACTAACGGAATTTATTGTTTTAACGGATTATGTAACGGAATTTCTTATTTTAAATAGGCAGCTGCACCTTCTTTCAGT